TATTCATATTTATTTCCTATTTTTTTTTGGTGGTTGTGAGATCGGTCAAATCTACCAAACCCGTACAGATATTAATTACTGAAAATAATGGATAAAATATAAAGTTTCTTTTCTTAAGAAATGTTTGATAACTATCTGGACATTATAAAGATTTCACATGTGAAATCTCAAAATTTTCTGAGGCATAAAAGTATTTTTAATCTTAAAATGAATATTTCTTTGCATGAGAAAAACTTTGTTTTACAAACCTTATGACTAATAAGAAAAATTATTTTGTGTATGAAAGCATTGTAATGTTTACTGATAATCTGCCAAATTATATTAACATTTGCTTACTAATTTAAAAGTTATAGCATGAAAACTATAACAAGCACAAAATGGTTACGAGGTCAGTCCCAGGGCCCGAGCCCATGCTGAAAAGAGTTAAAGGAGGCTTACAACATTTTTCATGTTTCATTAAAAAATCACTTGCAAGTTGAACCAGTAGGTCTTTTACATTTGCAGTTTAGAAAAACAGTGCTGTTATCTTTTTTGCACTCTATTCAAACTTCCTGTGTATATAATGCATAATTCTGTGAAAAAATTACCTCTGGCCATCCGTAATTAGAATGGCACTTGCCTGGTATTTTTGAGTAACATAATGTTTTTTGATTAAAGGACTAAACAAAACACCTAACTAAACCATTATTAAGTAGCAACCATAACCTCACCTGCTAGCTCTGGCAAACATAGAGCTTAGATGGAAATACATTTGACTGATAAAACAGTGAGCCAATCCAAAAGCATGAATAGTGCGCCAAATTGAATTAGGTAATATCCAACATATTTGTGAGAGCCATAGGCTGAAAAATGGGGAATGCAATAAGCAAGTTAAAAAAAAAAAAAAAAACAGCTTTCCATGAGCCTATAATAAAATGTCAATTTTCCAGGGTATTTCAGGACTGGATTGTGTTAAAGCAGTTTTCCAGGACTTTCCAGTCTTTTAATGCTGCTTTTATTTGTTGACAGTGAGAGTGCAAGACAAAAGCCTATTTGTAAATTATAACAGCTTTTCCATAACACAACTTTAGATTTTTATGAGATAAATATTTGGATTTTAGTACATTCCTGTTATGACAACTGATGGGGAAATGTTCTCTTGTTCATTTCAATATTCTTGCAAATAACTAAATAGTTTTGATTTTGATGACGAGGAACCCACTTTGAGACTAATAATGGCTGGAGACGGCTTGAATGGGTAATGAAGAAAAACTTTAATATAACAGCAATTGAACGTTTCGACAAGGTTTTGTCACCATCAGGTACCTACAGAGAGTTTGTTTAGGAAATTGGAACAATATTAAAAGTATATAGTTTTATATACAACTCAAAATAGTAGTTTTATTTCACTACAACTTAAAGTTTAGAAGTTCAACAATACCTACATAGTACCATGAAATAGAAAAATGAACACCTTACAAACTTTATATTATTAACTTTGAAAATTATAATTTCATTAACTATATTTTGGTAACTTGTATTAAAAGCTCATAATTGACATACATATAATGTATGGTTTATGTTAATGAATGATAATTCTAAATGTTATCAAAAAGAGGATTTAGTGTAGTGCATATAAATAAATTACTATTACCTTAGTGTATATTAATTGAACATTTACTTTCATTGTTGGAAAGCAAATTAATTTTCAAAACATGTTCAAGAACACACAAGATTTGATCAATAGTAATAATGTTCATAGGAAAAGTTATAATTTTCCTATACTGAAAATGTATTTCTGATAGGGATGCACGTTATCAGAAAAAATGATATGGAAGGGGTGTGTCATATAGGTTTCACATTTTATATACCTAAGTAAAGCAAGAAAATTGAAGATTCCAAGTTTATATATATATATATATATATATTTGTAATTAGTTGGACACAGAGAAAATCATAAACAAGTAGATAGAAAATATAAAATGGGCAATTCAGAGTTTAAATGTGTTACATGGCCCAAAGAAGACTAAGAATTTATCTAAATATTTCTTTTCAAAATTAAGAAACCAAATTTTGATAACATAAAAATGTTAATAATAAGCTATGTTTTAATGCCAAACTTAGTGACATTTATTGATAATGTAGCTGTTAAATTAAATTTTGAATGTAATTCTGTAAAAGTTCATGACATGCACACTTTGATTCAGCCATTGACATATAATTAAGTGAAGGGTATTTTGAAAATGTCTTCAAAACCAAACAGTAAAAGTAGAAAATAGGAAAATTAGCCTCATGTGACAGTAATTAATTAATTATGTGTAATTGATTAATAAGCCCAGCAATTAATCTAGTTGCAAGTTCTACAAATCTTGCTGCTTTCATCACTACTACTCTTCTTGCCAGTTTACATTTCTCCACCCTAAACAAATGCCTACGGTACTTTGCCTACTCTGAAAGGCTGGTTTTCAACATGATTCTACACAGGCCTATATAAAATGTACCAGAATAACTACAAAGCACTACTTCATAATAACAGCATGTATATAGTTGATTTTCAACATGCTAGTATCCACAAAGTCACATGCAAATTTACCTTTTCTTGGGAATAAGGAGTTGCATTTCCAAGTTCCTTCTGTAACTTGGCTTGCTTAAAGTCTTCTCGTTTTCGGAAAAGCTCAGCTTTCAAGTCAATTAACTAAACAGTGGGACAAAACTTTTATTATAATACCTGTAAGTATTCTATAAGACTTCACACTATACAAAAATATGAAGAAATTTCAATAGTAACTGTTGCCTCATACCATATGCTAATATAACATGAACAATGAACAGTGACCATTTTAATACATTTATATTTTATATTTCAAGAGCAAATTATTACTAATAACAAAAAGAAAATATCATAATGTTACATTGTGTCACATTGTGCAACTGTTTGTACACAATGATTTTTTTAGATGCATCTACAGTTAAGTCAAGTACTCTCAAGCACAAACTTTATGAATATAAATTTTTGCTTTCAGTTAATTAATGCTAAGTATAAAAAGTTGTCTTTCTTTTATTCCCACATAATTTAAAGGAAAAATAAACAGGAAATAAATAAATTTAAAGGAATAGTCAAGGCATCATATTCTTCATATAACTGACACTCTGAAATACTATTTTTACCCACTTCTGATTTTACATCTGAAATGGGCAACTTAAAAGAGATGCTACCCAAACATAAAAAGAAGCAATGTGACAATTTGCATGAGGAGAAGGAAGAGGAACCCCAGCAGCAATATAGGTCCTACCCAACCAATAGTCCATACAGACTATTTGTGAGGGGAAAGGGTAAGAGGAGCATCCAAGGGATCCTGATTAAGCCAGCATTTGGTGCTCCAAATACCCACAGAGGATGGTGCATGCTGGCATGACCAAGAGGAATGAGGGCTGCGAGAAAAGCCCACATCCTCAATGAGAGAGAACAGCACATGCAAAAAGGAAAGGGAGAAGATGAGAAGACACCTAAAGGATGTACTACAGCTCTAACCAAAGTGGAGAAGATTGGTCTCAACCAAGAATTGAGATGAAAAATACACCAAAAAAACTGGAAATTGATCAGGTGTAAGGAATTAAATCAGTAATGTGAGGAGCCAACCCACTCAGACAACTTCCTGAAGAAGAAACTGAGTATGGAGTGCAGATATGATCAGTGAGAAAGTATAAGTATCCAGTCTTCCCTGGAAAAGTATACACTAAGCTCAGAGAAGGAAGAAGACATGCTGAACACAGAGGGAGCCATGGCAAGGTTGAATAAAAACACTCTAAACTGAAAACACAACACACGCATGTGAAGAACAAAATGAAGAAGAACATCTGGATGCTAGGGAAACTGGAATATGGAGACATGTATCCAACATATATACAAAACAGGAGTGAAAACCCCTAACGAGAATGATCTCCTCATAGAAGGGACCCTGGAGAAGTAAGACCCAAGCCACATGTGACTGACACTGGGAAGAAATGGGATCCCACTAAGGGGGACAAGTGAAAATGGAGTTATGGAGGTTTGCTGAAACAACTCTGGTCTCCAAATAGGCATGAAGACCCCCCCAACATCTCATGATAGAAAAAAGGTGCCATGCGTAATGCATGTAATGAAGAGGAGGGTAAAAGAACACTAAAGAAAACAAAATCCCAACCTAGAAGAACCCAACTTCAAAGCAGCCACATCGGTAAAGCAAGGCTGAGGAGGAAATGCATATCATTGTAGCAAAAAAAAAAGATGAGTAAGACCATCAGAAAAAAGTTACAAAAAAACCATAGAACCACCCCAACCAAAAGGCAAAGGGAGGATAAAGCACAGACAATAATGGATAATGTAATAAGTGAACAAAAAAGTTCAGATGTAGGGAAATGCAACCAAAGCATCAGGAGCCAAAGCCCAAACTGCCCCTCGAAAGTAAGAGTGTTGTCATCACATTGTTCAAAACTGTGGTAAAGATTCATTTGAAATTGTGTTCAGTTTTGGCACCCTTATTACAGAAAAGGTAATGATTTGCTTGGAAAGAATTCAGAAGTAGTCTACAAAAATGTTTTAAAAGTTAAGCAAGTAAGATATGAAGACAAATTCAAAGATTTGAACTGGTTTGCTATGTAGTGTAGAACTAGAAATTTTTTGATTAGTTTAAAACATTAAGGGCTTGGACAAACTGCTCATGCCCATAGGTTTGTTAGAGTGGTGGAAGGATAAAATTGGAAATGAAATCCTAATATTAGAAGAAATAAATAAAAGCTAAGAAAGAACAGGTTTAGACTGATAATGATTATTAGGCTTTTTTTAATACAGTGTCAGATAATAATTTAAGGAATAATTTGCCTATTAATGAGATTTGTGAAGATAATCTGAATTCCTTTAAGTCTTTTGGGCAATTTTATGGATATGAAGATTTATAGCATAATATTTAAGGACAAAAAGGGACCTATTGATCCACCCACATCTAAAGGTAACCCATTTCAAAGTCTTAGTTGAAGATAACTCCACCACTGCCAAAATTTATATTCGAGTCCCCTTGTCCTACCATTCTCACTATTAAGTATGAAAAAAAAAAGCGTCAACACTACCTATTCCCTTAACGATCTTAAACTCTTCAATCAGATCCCTTACAACTCTTTTTTTTTCAGAGATCTTAACCTGTTCTAGTATGACAACCCTTTCATCCTAGCAGCCATCCTTTGAACCGCTTCCAACAATTCAATGTCCTTCTTAAGGTATGGAGCCTGAAAACAGTAGTCCAAATTTGAACTAACCAATAACCTATACAATAAATATTATAACCTTTTTAGACTTGTATTCAATGTTTTTATTCATACGGCCTAAAAATCTTATTTGTCCTACCACTAGCAACAGCATGCTGTATTGATGACTTAAAAAAAGTGATAAACCAGAACAATTTTTCTTCCATGATGCCATTACGGTTATTCCCATCAAAATTATACTAATAATTAAAGTTATGATATCCCACATGCATTACCTTGCATTTATTATAATTAAAAGTCATCTGTCATTTATTCACCTAACTCAACAAATGATCTAAATCATTTTGTAAAACAGTATTGTTTTTCTCATACCCAATAACATCTAAGGCCTTAATATTGTCAGCAAATGTAAGTAATTTATTGACCATTTCTTGATGTCATTGATGTAAATCATAAAGAACAAAGGTCCTAGCACCGAGCCCTGAAATATAACACTTTTGGCATTAATCCACTTTGACTAAACTACATTTATAGCAACCCTCTGCTTTCTTCCATCCAGCTACTTTTCTATCCAGTGAATCAACTTATCCCCTACATCTATAGAGATAATTCTTTAACAAGCCTTTCATATACTACTTTGTTATATTGTTTCTGAAAATCCAGATACATTAAATCCACACCTTTACCATCCTTTAAATAAGCAGTAACTTCACCAAAGAATGTCAAAAGATTAGTAAGGCAAAATTTTCCCCTAGTGAAACCATGTTGACTATTCAACAAAATTTTAAACTTTATTAAATGACTTTGCAAAACATCTTTTATCACATTCTTAAGCAATTTTCTCACCAATGATGTAAGACTGAAAGGCTTATAAACACCAGAACAATACCTATCACCTTCTTTGAAACAAGGAGTAATATTAGCCAACTTTGAAATTTTTCTGGCTTCTGCTCACTATTTAAGGAATTACAATAAACAGCATTAAATGGCTCATATATCTAATTCTTAACCTCTTTAAAACCCTTTGAGTATATCATTTGACCAAGGAGCCTTACCATTTTTTAAACTTCCTAATTTTTGATTAATGAGCTCAAAATGAATGTGATCATCTTGTTTGATCTTGTTTTCATCTAGCAATTGCTCAAGATGAGGAATGTTAATCTTCATAAGTAAAAATTTGAAAAAAAAAAAGTAAAATAATCCAATGTTCTCATAATCATCAGATACGAGCATACCCTTATCATCCCTCAAAGGCCTACTTCCCATCCTAACACTCTGCTTGCTCTTGATACATCTAAGAGCAACAAGGAACATGTTGGTCCATCCAGCGTGACCTATTCACTAGATTGAGCTAAATTTAAAAATTAAAAGCCAGCCCTTTATTGATCAAATACTTATCAAGCCTTCCCTTAAAGTGCTTTATATTTATTGCATCCACACCATTTGAGAACAACCCATTCCAAAGGCCAACTATCCTGTTACAACATGTATGCCCACCTATGCAAGAACACAACACGAGATACAATTATGTGAGTGTGCTTTGCAATCACGTGATATCTCAAATCACAAATATAAAAAGCCATCATGCTTGTTTGGAAAACAATCCATAATATGATTTTGAAATGATGAGAGCTAACCAAGTCCTAAATAAAAGAAACAGCAATTGGATGCCATTTGTCTGTAATTTAGCAGACAAATTTCAATAATTCTGGATGTGCCCAAATTTACTGTGCAGGATGTAAAAACACAATAGACAGCTCAGGGTTATGCTCATAATATTCTCTGCCAAAGTCAACCTAGGAAAGTGAGGCCTAGATCTCAAACAATGCTCAACAAAATATTAAGCAGAATCAATGAGCAAACATAACAATACTCACCTGGGAGTCTATCCAGTCACCTGGAACTGTAGTCAGTACAATGATATTATGGAATACGTGTTTGCATAAACTAGGTTTCTATGAGCATGCTGCAGTCCACAAGCCTCTCACCACATTGACCAACAAAGAGTAGTGCCTAGAGTTGTGTAATGAGCACCCAACATGGGGCCTGGGCATGAATGCTACAACACTGATTGTGTGGTACATCTATAAATGGATCCAGTAGCTATACCATGATATTTGCATGTTTGGTATGGAATAGGTTGAACAGTTGTCATCTTACTATTGAGAAGTAGCTGGACATCCTAGATAATTCAAGAAAGACATGGCTCCTTTCCACACTGCCTGCACTGTTATAGACTGATTTCTCGATGATGAAGTGGATCTGCTATCTTAACAAGCCATTTTGGGATGTCATAGATCATTAATTCTGAGCTTGATATAACAGACCAAAGATCTTCATGGTATGACTTCTACATTGCACAAAGAAAAGCAAGCAAATATGCAAGTGGTATAATATGAACTTTTCATAAATGTTGGCTGAAGGTCCAGAAATTGTTTAAGCCAAAGGATATAT